CGCCACCGCCACCGCCACAGCCGCCACCAAGAGCACTACAAATACTGTTAATGGAGCCGCCACAACAATTACAAATAACACTGGTTACAGCTATCGCTACTGCTTGTACGACAGCCGCCACTACAACTAATACTACTACCATCCTGCTACTCCTGCTCTACGACTCTACGACTACTGCTACTGCTGCTGCTGCTCCTGGGTTGTGGGTGCAGTTGAAATTATTGTGCTGACTCTGTGTCATGAAAGAAGCTAGGCCGGCCACTGTCCATGAAGCCCAAAGCCAGTCATCTACGGGGCTTGAGGTGCATAGCAGTGGTAAGGTCACCTAACAAATGGACGACACACCAACGACTATTGCAAAACGCTGTGAAGCTGGAGAGTGCTGCCGGTCTTTAAACCTCAGTAAGCAAGTTACAAATCTGTTACCAATTAGCAGGGTCCCCAGAACAGTGGCAAATCATTTTTGGAAACTACGAAATGCAGGGCCGCAGTAGTCAGAGCCTAAAATCGCCGCAAACCGCACCACAAAATCGCTTGGACCACATGCGGTTCAAGCTTCAACAGCTCACGGTCTAGGGTTCAGGCGCTCGGGGCTTATAAACCGTAAACCCCAAACCCATTGGATTTAGGCCTTCTCGGGCCAGCGGGTTTAGGGTTCCAGCTCGCAGCCCCTGCACACTCCAAACCGCGCACTCTGAAGCTCAAGACCGCTAAGCTTAGGGCTTAGGGGTTTAGGGTTTACAGGGAGCCCTGAACCCTAAAGTCTTCAACCCTTAAACCCTTGAACACCAAAGCCGCTCTGCCCTTGCTCTAAACTGTTCCTAAGCCTTAATCCTGAAACCTTTACATCCTAAACCCCAGACCCTCAACCTACAACGCCTGCAAATCCTGAAGCGCTGCACCCTAGACCGTACAGCAAAGGATTAAGACTTCAACCCTTAAGCCCTCAACCTTCAACCTACAACGCCTGTAAATCCTAAAGCGCTGGACCCTAGACTGTACAGCAGAGGATTAAGACTTCAACACTTAAGCCCTGACGCCTTCAAACCCAAACCCTTAATAC